GAGTATAACTGATTATTTTGTCCACATACCCCTGTCTTTCCCTTCGATACCAAACGGCGTATGTTTCGTGACAATGTGTAGCACTTTTTCCCAGTTAATGTCATAGCTCTGGTTCGTGCCAGATCTCCCTTCGCAGTTCCTGGACGAATATTAAGTGGATTTCGAAAATTCATGTCAAATGAGGAGTTTAACCAGATTTAAAACTTTTCTCAAAAGACACTCCTGCAAACGAGCTTATTCTTTTACTTAGTGTCTTAGAGGTTAGATGCTAGTACAAAATTATTTCTTTTGAAAGATGTTTCTCCTTTATCTGGGTTCTATTCTTTCCACAATTTCGTGCAGTGGTTTAAAGAAAGTTGCGCAGATCTGAACCCTTTTTTCCCAACCGGGAGAATTGGAGGAGTCTCCTCTACCATCGTGCTATCCAAGAACGAGAGGTTTGCAGCCTACACCCAAACCAACTTTCAGGGCTTGCAAGCGCCACTGGAGCCAGGCAAGTGGTATGAAAGTCCAGAAGCCATGAATTTCCCCAACGACCGAATGCAGAGCCTCCGCAAGGAATGAGATGACCAATCTGACCTGGCTCTTCGCTTACATTTCCTACCAAAGAAGAAGTTTACTGCAAAAGGTTGGCATTTTTATTTTTTTATGAAAAAAAAGATTTTTTTAGGCGAAATGGATGTGATCTCACCCTATGGATGTGTTTAGTATTGCATAATTCGGATTTTAATTTGTACCAAAGCAGCGTTTTTAAGGAAAGGAGAGAAAAAATTGCAATTTTCAACCGCTTTTTCCCGTGACCAGAGTGTAAGATAGAGTCTGTGATATTGACATGAAAGTCAACAGTTATCAAACGCATCACAGAAATATTCATTATTTCAAGGACTGGCTAGAATTTTGACCGAGCACTTCTTACAAAGACATCAAAGTAATGCCATTACTATGAATATGTTAAAATCGTATATGGGAGCTGCGGATTAAGGAATAAATCTGAAAGCGATCTCTACAGTGATGAACACCACTCAAGAAGTAGTGAAAATAAGACCAGAAGAAAAAATTCGGGCCTGTACGGGATTTGAACCCATGACCTTTGCAATACCGTTGCACCGCACAATGTGTCGTAAATTTAAGTTGTTTACTGGCAAATGTCTTCTCATCGGAGAAAGCCTAAGCAGTTAATGTGACAACCAAACACGTCATTGAATCGAGAATATACCGTTTAGATACAAGAAGTAAATCGTGAAGAATATTTAAAGCAAAGAGACGGATATGAAACATGGCAGTCGA